TATTAATCAATCTTCTATCTCCCGTTTACAGCTTGTACAAATCTCTGTTGCTCGCTTGTTGACTAACACACGTAAATATGAACACATCACTCCTGTCCTTTCATCGTTGCATTGGCTCCCGGTTCAGCTTTTACTCAAGCTGCTGCTGTTTGTTCTTAAAGCTTTGAATGGCCTTGCACCGCTCTATATTTCAGAACTTTTGAAAGTCCACCAGCCCAGCAGAGCTGTTTTATGCAAATTTTATCCTTTTCAGCTAAAGCCACATTTTTTTGTACTAATTTCAACTTTTTTTCAACCTAATTTATCAAAAATGTGCTCTCTCCACTTCTTTCTGGTAAGCTTCTTTCTGGTTTTTTAGATACTTTTCAGCTGTTTTTGTTGCTAATATCAGCTTTTTTCAGTAAATTTCCACTTTTATGTGCTCAGTTTTTTACTCAGTTCTTTGAGCCTAAATAGGCAAACAAGTGTTCTTTCCACTTCTTTCTGCTAATGGAAGTTTGTTCTACCTGTCCAGCTGTTTTCTTCTTCTTCATTTTTAGCTTATTTCAGCTGTTTTCAGATAAAATTAGTTTTTTGTGGATTACCACTTGCTACTTTGCTTGCTACTTTGTTACTAATTAGCTTCTTTCTGATTTAAACTTCTTCTGCTCCTTTCATCTTAATTATGCAAGTTTCAGCTATTTATCCTGATGCATGCTCAGTAATCCAGGTAGAAAAATGTAAAAAAGTTAAATCTGGTCCTCTGGACATTCAAAAAAACAAAACAAAGCAAAACAACAAAAAAATGTAGAAACGTTTCGTCTCTCATCCGAGAGACTTCCTCAGTCTGAGGTGCTGTATTCAGCTCAGTCTCTTAAATAGCACCTTCTCAGAGTGGATCAACCAGTTTTGCTGCTGCAAAAGTGGTTACAAGAAGAAATTGATAGATTGCCTGAAAATTTTGGAGCAGGACAAGGCTATTGACCGTTTTCTGTACCACAGACTGTACCCAGGGGAGGCCACACCTAGTCTGTATGGTTTACCTAAAATCCACAAACAAGGTGTACCTTTAAGACCAATCGTTAGCATGATTAACTCTGTCACTTACAATGTTTCCAAATATCTGGCGTCTGTACTCATCCCTTTAGTTGGCAGCTCAGAACACCACATACAGAACACCATGGACTTTGTGGATAAGGTGAGGGATGTGATCATGGAGACTGATGAAACAATGGTCTCTTTTGATGTCACATCACTCTTTACATGCATTCCTGTTGATGATGCAGTAGAGGTGGTCAGTTTAAAATTAAAATCAGACACCACTCTGAGCAGCAGGACCACGCTTTCCACAGAACAACTGTGTCAACTCTTGAAACTGTGCCTGCAGTCAACCTACTTCACATATGAGGAGCAATATTATAGGCAGAAACATGGGTGTGCTATGGGGTCTCCAGTTTCTCCTATTGTTGCCAACCTTTACATGGAGGAGGTAGAAAAGAGAGCCTTGACATCCTTTTCAGGGACACCACCAAGTCATTGGTTCAGGTATGTTGACGACACCTGGGTTAAAATTAAATCTCAGGAAGTCCAACATTTTACTGACCACATCAACTCTGTGGATAAATACATCAAGTTCACACGAGAAGATGAAAAAAATGGCAAGTTGGCTTTCTTGGACTGTGAGGTCTCAGTCTCTGATAGAAGACATTTGCAAACTGAGGTGTACTGCAAACCCACCCACACAGACCAGTATTTGCAGTTTGACTCCCGTCACCCTTTGGAGCACAAGTTAGGAGTCATCAGGACTCTGTATCACAGAGCAGACAGCGTCCCCACTAGCTCAGGAGCCAGGCAGAAGGAGAAATCCCACACAAAACAGGCTCTAGAGCAATGTGGATATCCTAACTGGGCCTTCCTAAAAGCAGAGAAGAAACCCAAACAGGACTCCAGTCAGCCAACAGGTGAAAAGGAGGAACCCAGACCCAGACCAGTATGTAACATATTCCATATGTTGAGGGAGTATCAGAGAAACTGAGACGTTTATTTTCTAAACATAACGTCCCAGTGGCTTTTAAACCCCAAAATACATTATGGCAAAGACTGGTTCATCCCAAAGATCCAGTCCCCCGGCACAAACAGAGTAATGTTGTTCAGTGTCAGGAGGGCTGTGATCAGTCTTACATCGGGGAAACAAAACAGCCACTGACCAAAAGGATGGCCCAGCACAGAAGATCAACATCATCAGGCCAGGACTCTGCGGTCTACACTCATCTTCAGGCTAGTGGTCACTCTTTGAGGGATGAAGATGTGCACATCCTGGATAGAGAGGAATGATGGTTTGAGAGAGGAGTAAAGGAGGCCATCTTTGTGAAAAGAAACCGTCCATCGTTAAACAGGGGTGGAGGCCTACGTGTTCAATTGTCCCCCTCTTACAATGCTGTGATTGCTAGTATCACTCAGCCCTCTGTGAATAGTAAACAGCCATCAGTGTGCTAATGATCCATTGTTAGGCTGATGGTCCTTCTTGAGCATGTGATCAGCTGGTTTTGGTTGTCAGCAGCAAAACTGGTTGATCCACTCTGAGAAGGTGCTATTTAAGAGACTGAGCTGAATACAGCACCTCAGACTGAGGAAGTCTCTCGGATGAGAGACGAAACGTTTCTACATTTTTTGTTGTATTGCTTTGTTTTGTTTTTTTGAATGTCCAGAGGACCAGATTTAACTTTTTTAGATTTCAGCTATTTATGCTACTTCAGCTACTATTTAGCTGTTGTTATGCAAATTTTAGCTTTTGCAGTTAATTCCACACAAATATGTGTTCTGTCTGTTATCTTCTGCAAATTTAGGCTTGTTCTTCTTTTCAGCTAAAATTCAGCATGTTTTAGCTAATGTGAAAGTTTCAGCAAGTTCTTCAGCACCAAGTGTTCACACTTGATGGGCGGCTGTGGCTGAGTGGTTAGAGCAGTCGTCCTCCAATGCATGAGTTGGGGGTTCGAATCCACCAGCAGTCACAAGCCGAAGTGTCCCTGGGCAAGACACTGAACCCCTCATAGCCTCTGATGTGTGTCCCATCGGTGTATGAATGTGATCTAAAGCACTGATTAGTCTCATTAGAATGATTTGCTCAATTAGCTTTGTAGAGATCTAGTGCTGTGTGGATGGGTAAATGAGGCACAGATTGTAGTGTAAAGTGCTTTGAGTATCTTGAAATAAGATAGAAAAGCGCTATATAAGTACAGTCCATGTACCATTTACCATTTACACTGCATTTTCACAGTAAATGCATTTTCTCTAGTATTAAAATTGACTTTACTCTTGTATGAGATAATCTTAGGGCTCTCGGTGTAAATGTCTCGTGCTCATGGCTCCCAGCAGGCTGGCTCATCTGAGGGAGCAGGAGCTGCATCTGTGGTGGTGAAAGTCCACTACACCTACAGTGTGGCCCTGTCTGTCCCACTGGACACTCCAAACCATAAGCTGAAGGGACAAATTGCACAGAAATTGGGCCATCCAGCATCCCAGCTGCACCTCAGGTGAACACGTGCCTCAATCCTTCTAATTCTAAATCCAGTGCACACATCCTTGCCACATCCAGGGTCTAAGAGATAGAAAAAGCTTAAACTACAAAAGCTTAAAGCAGCTGTAGCTGCACACTCACCCAAGCTGTCATGGGAAAAAACACACCCACTTATTTATCATTTAATTTCTTACACTTTAAATTTTGTTCTTTGGCCACATTTAATTACCCGTGCCCTGTCTTCTCACTCCTCCTCCTAGTTTTCTTAGACATAAGCAACATGGTTCTCGAGTGCTGACGCCCCTGAACGAGGAGGTGGAGCCGGGCTGCACCATACAAGAAGTGGCTGAAGATGGCAGAGTCACCCTGTGGTGCCAGGTTAAAAGTTTAACTCAACTATTCTTCACAACAGCACAATGGCATGATGCATGTATTACAGTGGATTTTATATTTATGCACCAACACTGACATCCAATGCAATGTTTTGTTTTTAAAATCCTATATTGGCCATTATCAGGCTCCTCTTTTGTGGAACCAACTTCCAATCTCTGTCTGTGAGGCTGACACATCATCCAGTTTTAAAACTAGGCTTAAGACTTTCCTTTTTGCTAAATCCTATAGTTAGGGTCGGCTTGGGTTTCCTGAGCTGTCCCGTAGGTCGTTTTCACACTAGATAATCCGGTAGACTCGGTTCGGTTCGGGACCAATATTCATGAGCATTTGTTTACATTTGAGCTGGTGAGTTTGCATTCACACTGCACTGTGCAGTCGAGTCAACCTGTTGAACCAACCTGTTCCCCCGCTCACCAAGAACTACTGAAAGAAACGACACAAAAACCTCTGAAGACACATCTTCTTCTTCTTCTGTAAATCAAAATAAAAACAAAGTGGCATCAAGTTTTAGCAGTTTTAGGAGTTATATTTTGTCATTTTTCAAAAATGGACTTAGCATGAGCAGAAGATGAGACAGAAGACCATGGAGAATATTGTTTTTCACACAAGGCAGCTGACGGCTGTATTTAAGGTCAGAGCAATGCGTGTTTGTTTACCCTGTGGAGCGGGTCTCGGTCTGTTTACATTCACACTGTACTCGAACCGCGCTGGAGTTCGCTTCTACCGGACCGAGACCTAGGTTTTAGCCCGGGCCAGAGTTCGCCTTTTTGTTCCGTGACAGAGTTCGATGGCGCGTTCACACCTCCCTAAACGAACCGGACTTTCAAGGAGCTGGAAAACGAGCTAGAGTTCGATTAAAGCAGACTAAACAGGGCTAGGGTGAAAGCACCCTTAGTTATGCTGCTATAGGTTTAGACTGCTGGAGGACAAACTGACCACAATTTTCACTCTGCTGCTATCTTTACTTACTCTGCTCAACCTGTTTTGTATTTGTAATTTTTTTTTTTATCCTTAACATGTGGTTTTTTTTTTGTCTTTCAGATACACCTGGACCTACAAACCTGATTCCAAAAAAGTTGGGACACTAAACAAATTGTGAATAAAAACTGAATGCAATGATGTGGAGATGGCAAATGTCAATATTTTATTCGTAATGTAACATAGATGATAGATCAAACGTTTAATCTGAGTAAATGTAACATTTTAAAGGAAAAATATGTTGATCCAAAATTTCACAGTGTCAACAAATCCCCAAAAAATTGGGACAAGTAGCAATAAGTGGCTGGAAAAAGGAAATTGAGCATGTAACGAACAGCTGGAAGATCAATTAACACTAATTAGGTCAATTGACAACATGATTGGGTATAAAAAGAGCTTCTCAGAGTGTCAGTGTCTCTCAGAAGCCAAGATGGTAAGAGATCACCAATTCCACCATTGTTGCGCGGAAAGATAGTGCAGCAATACCAGAATGGTGTTACCCAGTGTAAAATAGCAAAGACTTTTAAGTTATCATCATCAACTGTGCATAACATCATCAAAAGATTCTGAGAATCTGGAACAATCGCTGTGCGTAAGGGTCAAGGCCGTAAAACTCTACTGGATGCTCGTGATCTCCGGGCCCTTAAACGTCACTGCACCTCAAACAGGAATGCCACTGTCAAGGAAATAACAGAATGGGCTCAGGAATACTTCCAGAAAACATTGTCAGTGAACACAATCCACCGTGCCATCCGCCGTTGCCAGCTGAAACTCTACAGTGCAAAGAGGAAGCCATTTCTAAGCAAGCTCCACAAGCTCAGACATTTGCACTGGGCCAGGGGTCATTTAAAATGGAGTGTGGCAAAATGGAAGACTGTTCTGTGGTCAGATGAGTCACGATTTGAAGTTCTTTATGGAACACTGGGACGCCATGTCATCCGGACCAGAGAGGACAAGGATAGCCCAAGTTGTTATCAACGCTCCGTTCAGAAGCCTGCATCACTGATGGTATGGGGTTGCATGAATGCTTGTGGCATGGGCAGCTTGCATGTTTGGAAAGGCACCATTAATGCAGAGAACTATGTTCAGATTCTAGAACAACATATGCTCCCATCTAGACGTCATCTCTTTCAGGGAAGACCCTGCATTTTTCAACACAATAATGCCAGACCACATTCTGCAGAAATCACAACATCATGGCTACGTAGGAGAAGGATCCGGGTACTGAAATGGCCAGCCTGCAGTCCAGATCTTTCACCTATAGAGAACATTTGACGCATCATAAAGAGGAAGGTGCAACAAAGAAGGCCCAAGACGATTTTCTAAACTTGAAAAACTGGTCTCCTCTGTCCCCAGACGTCTGTTGAGTGTTGTAAGAAGAAGGGGGGATGCCACACAGTGGTAAAAATGGACGTGTCCCAACTTTTTTTGGGATTTGTTGACGCCATGAAATTTGTAAACAACAGATTTTTCCCTTAAAATGATACATACTCTCAGTTTAAACTTTTGATCTGTGATTTGTGTTCTATTCTGAATAAAATATTAGATGTTGACACCTCCACATCATTGCATTCAGTTTTTATTCACAATTTGTTTAGTGTCCCAACTTTTTTGGAATCTGGTTTGTATACCTGGACCTACCATTCTGTGTTCGTCTGTCTCTCCTTCCTGTCCTCTCAACCAGCCGGTCAAAGCAGATGGCCGCTTGTCCTGAGCATGGTTCTGCTGGAGGTTTCTTCCTTTTAAAAGGGAGTTTTTCCTTCCTACTGTTGCCACTGTGCTTGCTCAGGATGGGAGACTGCAACAAAACCAAGATTCAACTTGTCTGCTGGATTCCTTAGATAGAGAACTTTACTAATTGGCTTTTATGTATGTGAATGTTCCTGTAAAGTGCCCTGAGACAACTTTGTTGTGATTTGGCGCTATATAAATAAACTGAATTGAATTGAATTGAATTGAATGTGCATACAAGCATCAATTACATTAAGAAATACTACAAATAAGCAAAGTATATTAAATAAACTGGAGATTTCAGCACCAACATTCCACTGATTACTGTGACACCTTCATCCAAACAACCATCACTAACGTTGGACACTTCCTGTCAGGATGTACTCAGGACCGTCAGGACTGTGTTGCTCTTTTTGATTTAGTTGAAAGTTTTGGACAATTTTGTACTTAATGTTAGGTTTTGTTTTACTATCATGGTTTAGGTCTTCTGTATTTTTTGGCATTTTTCATTCACCAGCAGCTGCCTCAGTGCTTTTCCATTTAAGTTAAAAGTGAGTAAGTAAAACTTTATTTCTATAGCACCTTTCACAGACATATGAAAGCGCTGCTTCACAAAGGCAAGACGATTTTAAAACAACACAAACAAAGAACAAGCAAACAAGGTGAAAGCCTGTCAGAAAAAAAAATGTCTTTAGTTGTTTCTCAAAAGAGTCTGTGGTGTCAGTGCAGTGTAGGGACAGAGGGAGGACGTTCCAGAGCCTCAGAGACACCGCCCGAAAAGTGAGGTCCCCACGGGTTTTAAAATGTATTTGGGGTACAGACAATAACATTTGACTCAAATAACTCAGAGTTCTCTAGATGGAGTTAAATAATCCAATAGGTCAAGAATGCATTTAGGAGCCTGGCCGTGGATAGCCTTGAAAATTAAAACCAGAATTTTAGCGTTAATCCTCAGATGCACAGGAAGCCAGCGTAGGGAGGCAAGAACAGGAGTTTTTTGCGCTCTTCTGTCAGTTTTAGTCTGCAGCCTTGCTGCAGCATTCTGTACAGACTGTAGGCAGCCAGGGAGGTTTATTAAAACAAATGCTGTGTAGCTGGAAGGATTTTTAATGAAACGGTTTTAGTTTTGGACATTTGTTATGATGCATAACCATGGCAACAAGGAAGATTTCTACGACCAACAACAGCTCATTAACATCTCAAAAGCTCTAATAATATCTCAACTACACCACCAAATCTCAAACGAGTTGAAAGGATGTTCTGTGGACGCATTCTTATCTACCTGCTCGAGTGCCTGACCACTGAGATCCTGGAACTAGCAGTAAATATGGCTCATGACAGCGGAAGGACATGATTGTCTCTCGTCACCTACAGTTGGATGTCCACAGCAACGAGGAGCTCGGTAGACTGCTGGGAGGAGTGGCCACCGCTCTTGGAGGAGTTCTGCCTGGCATTTGGGCGGTCCTAGAGCCCGGGGGAACCGAGAGGCCAGCTGAGTCTGAGTGGACTAAGCTGACAGCTTCTGCAGCCAGTTTCTTAGGATGCACTGTAGGATGGACCTTTACAAAATATCCTTTCTGCCTACAGCCATCAGTATCTATAACATCTCTTAATGAAATGAGGATAATACTTTATTAATGGGCGGCTGTGGCTGAGTGGTTAGAGCAGTCGTCCTCCAATGCAAGAGTTGGGGGTTCGAACACCACAGCAGTCAAATGCCGAAGTGTCCCTGGGCAAGACACTGAACCCCTTGTTGCCTTCGATGTGTGTCCCATCGGTGTATGAATGTGATAAATCTCTGATTAGTCTCTTTAGAATGATTTGTTCAATTAGCTTTGTAGAGATCTAGTAGAGTGCTGTATGAATGGGTAAATGAGGCACAGATTGTTGTGTAAAGAGCTTTGAGTATCTCAATATGATAAAAAGGCGCTATATAAGTACAGTTCATTTGCCATTTACCATTTAATCCCTTTGGGATTAATAAAGTATTTTTGAATTGAATTGAATTCAGATGAGTAAGAAGTGGACCAGTTGAATACAGTGCCAGAGATGCCAAACAAGTCTCTCAGTCTATTAATAAGAAAAGTACGATCCACCGTGTCCAAGGCTGATGTTAAGACTAATTAGCACAGAAAACTAACACAGAATAGTGACCAGAGTCAGCTGCCATCAGCATGTTACTTGACATTTTTAATAAGGCTGTCTCTGTGGAGTTCCATTTACGAAAACCAGTTTGAAAACGTTGGTTACGTACTGTAACCCTAGATTCTATGAGT